TGACATGGGCAATTTCCTCTAACCGATTTCTTCCAGACTTTCATCCACCATTTGCCTTGTTCCTTCTTACTTCTTTACTTCTGTTGGACTATCTTACAAATCTAATTTTCTCCACTCCTTCTTCTCTTTCGGCATGTTGATCTTATCCTAAACCCTTTCATGCGTCTTCCTTACTCGACTAGTCACCAAAAGCATGGAACAAAGGTGAGAGGAAATCGCTAAAGAGTACGAAGGGTTTACCAAGGGTTTCTGAGCTACTGCGTATGGACCAGTGTATTAAAAGAAGGAGAAGGAGACTGTTCAAAAGCTCAACTGCTAGTTAAAGATGTTTCATTGACAAGAAATCTTCCGAGCAACTATAGTGTGACATGAAGTATAGTAAAACTCAATTTAATCGCTGATTCCTATATTCGCTCCGCTTAGAGTCATTTCTGGTGGTAAAGAACTGTACCTCGTCTTTCATGGACCGTGTCGACTGGTTGGCTCCAAATTCTGCTTTGTTATGTGAGTGATCACATTGCTCGGCATTTGAGGATTCATCGGTCAATCTGCTCTTATTTTAGGCATAGCTTCGCTCTACACTGTTACGCTCATACATTATGGAGTTTGCTGTTCTCATTTTCATATCGTTTTTACGTTTTGAAGCGAACACCACCAAAGAATGGCGTCATTGTAGCAATTATACTTGTGATGTATTTGCCATCACTCCTCCAATTTGTAAGTTTGTTTGTGGAGTGTTTATGGCAAGTTTTCCTTCTCCATGGGGGCGGGTCTGATCGAGGGCAAAGGTCCAATTTAATGTGTGCTGCACTTATTTTGGACCAGGTCGTTCGAGCACAGCACCGACTTTGGTTCACTCACTAATTTCGCGGGTATTTACCCATACTAGAGCGAGAGTCTGAACTCTAAACTCGAGGATATGCTTCGAACAGAGCTTTTCCAATTCAAAGTTTTTCATAGTCTTCAACATAATCGCGTGAGGTTTGGAGGGGTTTTAACTGGTGAATCCAGTAAGGAAAACTTTTTGATATAAAAACTTATGAACAAGTGCAAGAAGCGCAACTTAGCATTCCAAGCGCAAAACCAGAACACCTTGGGTGAGGTTAAAAGTAGATCGGAATATTAAATGCTGTAATTCAACGAATATTGGCGTCAAAGAGATAGAGAATTTGTACCGAGATATTAGCCGTCAATCACATCGATCACAATCTATTTTAGTCCTCTTTTTTCAGATATCCTTTTGCTTTGCCAACGAAAAAGAAGCCGAATTGAAAGTACTGATAAAGGAGAACTTTGGTTATGACGTGTATTCGGAATGTGTTGGCGGAAGCAAAAATATTTTGAGTTGGAGATCACTCCCAGCAATTCTTCACATGTCATTATCAGTTACTCCAATCTATATCGCTATTCATGTGCTCAGAAAACTTACCATTTCCCTGTTGGATATGGGATTGGTCATGTCAGAGAACAATCGACGTATTCATTCCCAACTTCTTCAGGTAAGCCATCTTTTATAGGGAGTGAGTAAGCAACATTTTTTTTATGAAGATATCGGCACTAACTATAATCCGTTTCCCACTATTTTTGAGAACCCTGAAAGTGGAGCACAATTGATGGGCTTGGTTAAGTGATAGCGGTCGAACATAGATATATATTATCTTCACTATCATTGTTTTCATTTCACTGTGATACCGACACGATATGGGTCTACTTGCCACTTCTAACGACTCTTATACGACATTCCCAAATTCATTTTTTAGGCACTCACGGTGCAGGCCTGCTTACCTGCTTTCTTTCTACTGGCCGTCATCGTGTACGCAATTGAACAGTTGGATATCATTCGTCATCCACTTCTCGAATATTCCTGTTTCATACTGATCGGTTTGATTCCTGTGCTCAGTCCGCTTACCTCGTTTCTTTTTATTCGTCCTTATAATAAATGGATAAGAGAGACACTTTTTCGCAGCCACAAAGTGTCTTCCAGCATCAAAGTGTCGACAATTGCGTCAACAGCTAGGATAAGCGATCTAAATGTTATGCTTTAATGCGCATGACAAATGCACACATTCATATTTTGTTGGTAATTTGTTAATATGTTGATAAAGTTGGATCAATGATCTTTTTAAGTACAGTACATAGTACAAGATAGTTTCAAAACCAAAACAAATTATTATATACATCCTAATCGTTCGAGAAAAGCCAGAGAATAGGATTGCGAAAGACAACGGATAACTTTTCCCGCTTCTCTCACATCAACAGGTCAGTTTTCATTTCTTTTTCATAAAACTCAGTGCATGGCTCGACTCAGCCCATCGAGTAGTGGGGTAATGGTCAGTCTGAAAAACCTACATTTCTACGTTCTCGTATAATTAAAATTTTCCGTTCCGCGTCATTAGCAACGACATTTTTCAGAATTATAATCAGGGGGCGACCTACTCCACGAAAAATACTCATTTAGCTGGGAATTAACTGGCCTATCCTTAAATATTTGAAAAAGGACCGTCGTGTTGGCCAGCTCAAGCCACTATCCTGATCTTGTCTCCAAGAACTCGCACTCGAAAAATGGAGAGTCGGTGCCACCAGTCTTTAAGGAATATTTTTTTGA